CGCTTAACTCTGTGTTTTTTAATAATCATGTCGCATGTGAAACGCAGGAGACATTTAGTTCGCCCATTTCTTGTTTACCGACATTTTGTCTGGAATGCGATACAGACAAAGATTAAACATTACTGATAACAACCAAGAGGCTCGAACCAGGAAGGCATGGATATTTTAAACTTCGTAAATAACATTCTTTTCAAGCGTAGACTTTATTCGAGTGTAATAATACGCAACAACAATTCGTTTACAGCATTGGTTTTATTGAAGTTTTTAATGCTTTTCGACATTACAGTGAATTATTTTAGCGTCATATTTGAAATAGCGCGCTTGATACAAGATGTCGGACGGGAAAATTGGGGTCTGTAAAAATGTTTGTTGGTTCAGTCAGGCAATGTGTGGACCAAAACATCGCCCACTATTTGAAACATTGCCCATGGGCGGGGTTTAGGATGGGCGGGGTATCAGCCGAATCCGGTAGGTTTTTTTTTTTTTTCAATTTTACCCATCAGTTCATAATAGTATAATCATGAATAATAATACTCACCATCCCATATTATTATTAATGACCATTCCTGAATATTAATATCATTAACCAACCCAAATAACATAATTGTGATGGCATAGTTGCTATTAAACATACATGAACATACATACATGTTGTGGTCAATACATGATTATCTTGACTCACAAATCTGATTGGTTGTCATAATAATAATAAAACAAACCTGTGTTGACATACCTGTCATATTCAGTTTCAAATAGATGACCTAGTGACACAGCACAGACACAGGCATAGGAGAACCTGTGTTGACTTACCTGTCATATTCAGTTTCAAATAGATGACCTAGTGACACAGCACAGACACAGGCATAGGAGAACCTGGATGCATCACCAAGCACTTGATAAACTAATTTCCCTTTGCCCGTTTCATCCTTAACGACAGCAGCTAATGTTGGTTTCTTCGTTTTTTCTTCTGTAACTATGGCAATGTTCTCATCAAAGTCAATGATTGATTCAGAGTCTGGAGTTACACATCCATCAGGAATGACGTCATCATCCTTATTTGGTAACTCATTTGTTATCTCCTCCCCAAAGATGGGGGAATTGATGACATCACATTTATTTTCATCATTGCAGACCTCTTCCTTTTTCTCTTGATGACATTCATAACTGTCTGTTTCCATGGTGATGTCTTTCATAGCACCAAGTTGAGCAGCTGCATCCGTCAAAAGACGTTGTTGATTATTATTTTCCTTTTCCTGCTCCTCATCATTATCCGACAAATTTTTATCATTTTCTTCATCTTTTTGGCCATTTCTCATTGAACTACATTCATCCTTCCCAACAGGCAAGTCTTTCATTTCTGTGATGGAGCAATTCATCATTATTCCATTCAAAGTTTCATTTTTATTATCAATATCAATATCAACTCTGTCTCCATCACAAAGAATTCTTTCCTGATCAGCATCATCTTTTTCATCACTGGTATCTTGCGAGTTTGCAGCATCAAAATCATTTCCATCTTCTCTCAAATTCATTTTCATACATGTAATTTTTGTTGCCGTGATCACTACACCATCACAGATTTCAGTATTATGGGATGTTTCATCCACAGCACCATTGTCCATATCAATGGAAGACATTACAGGATTTGTAATTATTCAAAGTCACATGACAATCATGTGACTATTACTAATCGTGAATTGATTTTCCTCACTATCACCAACTATGACACTATAAAAAAACAAATAATTCCTGGTATCAATTTCACAGAAAGTTCGCTTCAAATCTTAAAGTTATATTCCCCAATTTTGTGGTCACTGACAGTCTAAAAAAATACTGCAACTCAACATACTGTAAAATAATTTATTTTCACTGGAATTAATTGTCACTGAAAAGCCTTTTCGGGTATTTTGTATGGAATTTTTCACTGATTTTTTGTGAGTTGAATGTAAAATATAGGAAAAAAGGTATATTCGCTAGATTTTATTTTCACTGAATCACTCCTTCAGCGAAAATAACGAAAATTAATTCTAAGTGAAAATAAAGTATTTTACAGTACTGTATGTATTTTAATTGAGTAACACTTGATTATCAGATTTTGGTAGGGTCACTATGCTGAAATTAACAAAAGGTTTTGAAATGCTGGTGAGCTACCAGTTTTAAGAGTTGGTAAGCAAATGGAAATATTAGGTCGTCCATCAGGTTTAGTGAAAATTTAAAGCCATGGCAGTGTCATTTTTTTGAAAATAGTTATTTGGACTACTAGAGTTTGAACAATTGTAGCACCAGAACAAAAATTGGTAGTCTTGCCTTGGACTACTGATAATTACAAGCAATTTCAATCCCTTGTATATGTGTGTATACGAGATCATCAACAGTGTTCAACAGAGTGTTCAACAGAGTGTTCAACAGTGTTCAACAGTGTTCAACAGAGTGTTCAACAGAGTGTTCAACAGAGTGTTCAACAGAGTGTTCAACAGTGTTCATCAGTGTTCAACATAGTGTTCAACAGTGTTCAGTGTTCAACAGAGTGTTCAACAGAGTGTTCAACAGAGTGTTCAACAGTGTTCAACAGTGTTTAACAGAGTGTTCAACAGTGTTTAACAGAGTCCTAAACATCTGATACTGAGAAACTATGAAACACAAGAGTTGTGTAATGTAGTGTAATAGAACAGAATATAATATAATAGAAATGACAGAATCCAAATTTGAATTGTTTACGAAAGCTTATCTTAGCACAATAACAATTAGTATGGTCAAAATGATATACCCACCGTAGATTATAGAAAACAAATATTATCATTTAAAGGACAGAATGATCGTCTAGAGCTCATTTTAATTTTATGTGAACAAATAATGGATTACACATATGTTGTACAAGTCACATGGGAACCATATGGAACAGGGTCACGATGTTTTGCCATGCCCATACAAGTTAGCCTAATACTGTATTGTTCTGTGCGTCCTCTCGGCAATAGTATTGAAAAGTTGCCCTGATTTTTCTTTTAAGAGTGTAAATTTGTTCAACATCATGAATAATGGATCGGTCGCAATATTTGTCTCTGCAGCAACTATCAGTTAACACGTACAGCGTGTGCGGAGGACGTACAACTGGGAAATTAGACTATAATTCAGAGTGTGCAATAGAAAGGTAACTCGGCTAAGCTTAAGTAGTCAAATCTTTATTTGATTATCTATCTTACACATAATGAAAAAAAAATTACCCATAGAATACATCAAAATGATTTGTATGAATTTATTGAATTACAAACAGCTGTTTGTTGACCTGGTTGAACCAAGGTCAGGGTGTACTTCAATCCTCCACATTTGTTTTGGTGGAGCGTTGGTTCAGGTGAAATTTTTACGACATTGCTTGATATGTTTTATCTTATACTGCAACAGGTATCAATTTTGAATATTAAAGGTGGTACATTTTAGTGACGTTCGGGTTTAATTTTGTTGTTGGGATGTATAGAATACACATATGTGAAACACGTACGTACAAATTAAGTATTGTACACGATTTATTAAAACATATTCGGATAACTATGAAGTAAAAATAAAATGTTACCACTATGCAATGCGTTATGTTACCGGCCGAGTTGTTTACACGTCACGCCTACCAAGTAGCATCGGTCGGACCGCGATCAAAACGAATCACAATATGCCGCACAATACACTTCCGTATTTCGGAACGTGTCGGCAAAATATCACATCGTGGTTCAGAAGACTTTTAACCGTTGGTTACTAACAATAATGGGTAATCCATGTAATTGTCAGATACTTACCGTACTAGCATCAGACGACATATGTCAACATATGATTAACGGAGATCAACTTCATTTTCATCATTCCATCAGGATCATCCGATCGCCATTTTTAGTTGTAACGTCACTTCCGCCATATGCTGCCATCCGTGATATCTGACTAATTGTTTCCAGGGGCGATGGGTTTATAGTAAACAAGTCACGTCGGATCGATGTACAGATAAATGGCGAAAAAACGGACAGGTGTTCATAATGCGACAATTTATTTACAAAAGATGAACGGCCATTCACTTGCAACGCCCTCTGTAGTTGGAGAAATAACTTGTTTTTGTTTTTAACAACCACCAGTCCCCGGTATCATCGCTGAGGGCTTATACTACGGTATAACGAATCCAATGCAAAATCTACTCAAATTTAATTTAAGCAATTCTTACCGTATATTTCAAAATTCTGCTAACAAAACTGAATATTGAATAATATATTGCATCGCAGCGAATATAATAATGTTTTTATCGGATATATTTTCTAATTGTAGTGCACGACATGTAACCACCTGGTAGGGCTTGACCTTCCATATGAAACCATCTTCTAAACTTTCATTACCACCATAGATTGCGTTGACGGTGTATCTGCACATGAATCATCATTTATATTGATTGCCATAATAAATATCATGTCAACAAGTAAAAGAAAACCTTTACATTATTTCCTCCCACTTTTCAACTATTTGTCCAGTCTTGTTTTAATATTTTTCAAGTTGCATTTGATTACATATTCCGAGGGATTGTTTATACTTCAGGGGAAATGTTTCCTATGTGTTGTTTCTCCAGCATGTGCTCCTGTCTGATGTGATTTGTTCAATTTAAATAGTTTACCAGTGTCAATGTTATCTAAACCCCCTGGATGAGATCACTTTTCTCTTCCCCTTTAATGTATAAGTGATAATCTGTGAAAGTCTCTTGTAATAACTAAGACCATTAAATTTGGGTATCAGTGTTATTGCTTTCCTCTTCCAGTAATTTTTCTAAAGGTAAGGATTCCCAGGTTGCACTGCATGCGAGACCTGACAAGCGAATTACAAGTTTCATGGCAATGAAGTTGTTCACATATGTGAATAATTAAGCTAGTAAAACTAAAACAAGCAGCATGTCGGCTGAGATACATGTAGCTCCGCTGTTGTAATGCACATTTCAATTAAAGATCTGCAGATATCATTAGAAAATGAACAATATGAATAATATCAAAGCAATCGGACTTGTTGTTTTCAACAAGAAGTCGAAAATATCACTTTTTAGCAAAAATTACAAAAATATTACCAAAATTAGAGAATTGAAGATATCATTACAAAACGATCTAAGAGAGGTCCACCCCAGGTACATATACACCAAGTATCAAAGCATTTAGGCTTGTAGTTTTCAAGAAAAAGTCGAAAAAATAAAAAGTTGACACAGACGACGACGGACGCTGACGGACAAAGTCAACAGCGGAGCTAAAAATTATCACATGACAACATTTTAAAACTGTTTATACAAGTAAATTACTTTATTGCAAGTTAATTTAATCCTAAAATGTAAATATCAAAAATACTTCAAATTTCAAATTGCCAGCATTCCTAAATCTTTCAGCAATGTGGGATCCACATCATTGTCATCACTTTCATCACCTTCTTCTTTTTCTCCCATTATTTTCTGTCGATGTCTTTCCATTTGCCGTCGTTTCTTCTCCATTTTGTTTTGTCGTTTTCTCTCTCTGCCAGTTGAACGTGATCGTTGCTGAAATGTGATGATAATAATTCTGTCTTATTTAGCATTGACTATTGAATGCAATAACACATTTAAATGTTAAGAAGTGGTTGTATAGGGGAGGGGAGGGACTGGAGTGTGGGGCTAATTTGTTTGTTTTTTTCACTATAAACAACTGACAATACTGGTATGTACCATATGTACCATCAGAATACTAAACTAGTGCAACCTATGTTAGAAACATGCTAACATTAGACCAAATCTAAACAAATTTATGTCCGCAGCTTTTCCTTAGAGACAACATCCCCCCCCCCCATCACTCTTGCTTAAACATATCAGATGCTCTGGTCATAAATAGGGGTAAAAATGCATCAAAGTCTCCTGGTCCCTGCCATAGCCAAAACAAATTTACAAACATGGCAACAAATATTTTGTATTTAATCCCCATTGTTAGACACAGAAATAAAAGAAACAAGTCATTGTAAATGGCATAGTCCCCGTCCTTATTTACTGACTGTTAGATTTTAAACAATGACAAATGTTTATTATAAATAAATGTTTGGATAGTATTCAATATAATGTGCTATCCATTGAGTTTCTTGAACAAAATCGTTTAAAGTATGTCTGAGCTATAGTAAAACCAACATGGCCACCAGTCAGCCATTTTGAATAAAATCACAAAGCAAACTGATGTGCATCTGAACCATCATGTGTGATGTCCACACCAAGTTTGAATTAACCAGCCAAGGTATGTCTGAGAAATGGCTGATGACATGTTCAAATGTTGTTTTGGAGACTAAAGTGGACATTCTCAGTCAGTGGTCAGCAAAAGAAGAAACAAATCAATATGCATATGTATACTAACATTTGTTTTTGTACCAACTTTGAAGAAAATCTGTAAAAGTCAAAATATGGTCAAAGACACATGAAAATAGAAACATCATGGCCACCAGTTGGCCAATCAGATTGAAAACAAACTGACTTGCATCAGCAATCCATCATGAATGATGTCAATGCCAAGTTTTAATGTAATCAATCCCGGCCTGCCTGAGATCTGGTCGATGACTAATTCAAATGTTGATTTTAGGATTAAAATAGCCAGTCGGTCAATAAACATGAAAAAACGATGTGCATTATGCCTTATATCAGTTTTTTTTTTTGCACAATTTTCTTAGTGTGCATTTTATCTCCTAATTTAACCTTTTCACCACCAGTTCCCTCTTTTCATCACAAATTCACAAAATAGTCCCATTTATAGTTGCACTTTCCTTCAGAAGACTGGGACAAAAATAGCCAAACTTTTTGAGTAAAAACCGAAAATTCACTCAAATTTTGTCTGTTGGCTCCAAAATTAGGGTTCATTTCCAGAAATATTGAAGAACATAAAAAAAAGTGCAGACAAGTTTGGGTGAGAAAGTCTGGTTGTGAAAAGGTAAACAATTCTGTAAATAAAATTAATTTTCATTGTAGTTTAGAACAAAAAATGTATTCTCCTAGAAGGATAACATTAATTTTACCTGACTCACATTGGACTTTGGTATAGCGCCACCACTGCTACCAGTATTATGATTTGATGTACTCTCAGACTGTGAAGTGCTATCACTATGTACATCACCAAATAGTCTTGATCCAGTACCAGACTCTGACCACAAACTATCCACTTGGTGGTCATCAGCCTTTGAACTTTCAGGTGAACTACTACGATAAGAATCTGTTGTGACAGCAAAAGAAATTATTAGGTTGTGATAATATCCAGACAATATCACACTAGACTTATAGACATCTTGTTTCTTATTATACTATCTGCCATTAATCCTTGCTAAATGTGTTTGTTCATAAAATTGACAAGTTGGCAAATTTCCTTTATTCAAAATTCTATTGATGGTAAGGCCTTGGAAATAAATTCTGATGACAGAATTATTGCTACTATATAGCCCCAACAAATTTAGTCAAATGTGCATATTAATTAGGCAATTTACATAATAGTGGATGTAATATTGATGTTGTTTTGCATATGTACCGGTAGCTTTCATAATTACTGTGGAGAAATCTTTAAATTTAACATATTTCCTGATGATGTCATTATTTTCCATTCATTTTGCTATCTGTTGAGACTTTAAGATGATGTTTTTAGTATACCAAAGAATATCCATTTATGTAACGTGAACAATGATGCCATAGATCTGGGATCATTTTGTACCGGTAAGAGAATGCAACATTTAGTCATGTTTACCAAAATCATTTGAGATCTCCCAAGACTGTTAACTCCAAAACCAACTGTCGATACATTCATATATAAGTTACAATATGAATAGAATGCAATGTATGTTTTAAGAATAACAAAACTTAACTAACCACTCTGATTGGAAGCAAAAACTATTTGTATTAGGAAGTCTATTGTGGCAGTCACATCGCCGTCATGGTCTGCTAGGGTCTCATGGATCAACTGTATATCCTAGAAGTAATAGACAAATAAATGTGGACAGGTCAGATGGTCCACAGTAAGGCAAGGTTCAAATTCACAGCTAGATAAATTTTAAACTATTTGGGAACAGAGATTTAGGTGATCACAGATAAAAAGTTGTTTTTTTGCTCAAATTTGACATACATGTAGGTGGCACTGCTGTAAGTTATATGGTTTACATGATAATGTGTTATGAAAGTATAGATGACAGAATCCAACAAATACTTATTCTT